TGAGTGCGCGGTGCACCCTGTTCATGCATGTCTAAGTTTGTACACTATGCGGAGAAAGTATGCAGCTTTTATTTGTCTTTCGTGCGCTTTTCTAAATAGCCGTTCGTTTACCGTCAACATGTAAAGGCCACTTCCCTTAAACTTGGGATATTTTTTACCACAAATGCTATAGAAAATGTAATTGACTCATCCTCTGTGGTCTGATGTGGCTCATTAAAACTGTTGAATATGCTGATTCTTTTGTGTTGTTGGCGACGATAAACAAGGGGCCAGCCTCAAAGCAATGACACACGTCTGACTCCATCAATGGTGGTTTTTGGGGGGTACATGTTAAAGTAATGTGAAAAAAAGATTGAATAATTACATAGTCTGGCGAAGTGTTTGTTCAAGTACAAGGAAAACTTTTCTTCTGTCAAGAACAATAGTATTTAGGCATGTTTACTTGTCCCATCGGCAAATTTCGATTTTAGTGCATACGTTTTACCAATGTATTCCAACAAGTTTTGATTCTTTTTTTGGTCAAAGCTGTGAACCTTTTGTTGTTGTTTGTTTCTGGTTTAAGTGTGACTATGTCCTGGTTGGGTTGATAGTAGCCCAGTTCAGGATTTGTACTGGCAGAGCTGGTGAATGCAAAACCTCTCAACCTAATGTAAAACAGATACTTAAAATCTGGTATTTCACAAATAGCCAATAATAATTAAACTGTGTAACAATCTATGAATCCAGAGTTTGAATCCCAGTTGACAAGAGTTTGGAATCATCCAAATATTAAGAGTTTGAAGCTACCAAGTTATTATTGTAGTAGTAGTATGTGGGAACTATGTATTTGTGTTCAGGCCAAAATGCACATTTCACAGAGGCATATTATGCAAACCAACTTTTTTGAGCTTCATGTAACAACATCATTCTCTCATCAAACATAGACCTGGAGTTGTGTTTAGATCCTTCCTGGCTAATATCATAAACTTCTGGCGCAAACTTGTAACTTCGTCCTTCTGTCTAAAAGCTCCTGTGTGAGTCCTGTGATACTATGATGTCATTGTACTTCTATTACGTCACACTCAGAGCAGTTTTCTGTTTTTCCCATACAAAATTATTGGCCATCCATATGTACTGGCAACTCTCAGGTGAAATGATATTCTTTACAATTATGTGTTTGATGCTGGTAATTTTCAAATTTGAACCCCCCCGCGATAAACAAACCTCTACTCCTTCTTCTGGTGATAGCAAAGGGAAGGGAAGTTTTACGATCAAATTTTTTGTACTCTTCTTTCTTATTTCTCCATATATTTTCCTCTAAAGATAGTATTTTACTATTTAAAACAAGAAATTAAAATATAATTACTATTTTAATGCATGAATATAATGCATAATGTATTTCTTCTTTAAAATTGATAAGATGTGAAATGATAAACAGTTGGTGGTTTTGAATTTCCTGTACAAAACATACAAAAGCAGGATTCATTGGTTTGATTAGAATAGAAGGTGCAATCATTTCTATAAATTATTTACAGTTGAAAAAAACATTTATTGCACCTTTTATAGGTTTGCATCACCAGATAATTCCATCGTCACAGAAGTTATTGTTCACAAGTCAAAGTCAAGTACAAGATGAAATGGACCAGCGCAGTCTCAGGTCTTTGGGCAGCCCACGCTCGCTGTCAGAGCCCAGTTTTCTCCTGCATATTTGCGTCAGGTGTGCTCTGTTTTTCCAGTCGGAGTTACACAGGAATGTGGGCTCCTCTCCAAGCTGACTATCAACAGCAGGACAAGAAGCAACACATCCATGCTGTATTTATTCACCAGTCTTCCTCCTCTTTTCTGCTGCTCTTATCTACTACTGCACTTTTCAAACATGTGCGTTGCATTTAAAGCCAAGACTGGGATAAAGCCTGGATCACACAAAGGACATGGTCATCAATCATGATCTATATAAAATACACTATGTTCCTGTTCTAAGTAAAGAGCAGAAATACATTTAAAAGATTTTTGTTTTGGGCTCAGAGGAGTGCTGGCTGTTTGATTTTTACAGTCCTACAGTTTTCACTCAAATTTAATCTACTTTTTTAATTTGCTCTGCATGACACGTCCTCCTCGGTCACCCAGCTGCTTCTGGACTGAATGCATTTTTTGTAACTGATTTGTAAAGCACAATTTTTACTCGGTTTGAGTTGTAATGCCTTAAAAGCTACCCTTCATTGGTGTAAATGAAGGAGATAAGAATAAGAATGACAATTATGTTAGTAGAACCCTGTATTTATAGTGGCCGTGAATCATATTTTCATTTTTTATGACATCTACACCTTTATATGTCCACAGATAACAGGTCACATGTACACATTTTTTAAGGCTTTCTCAGAACAATAAAGGAGTTTTTTTCTCTTGTCTGTAGCTTTCACTTTTGCTGCCGTTTGTAAATGTATACGCATATGTATGTAAATGTGTATCCATGTGTGTGTATGTATGGGTGTGTGTGTGTATATGCGTGTATATGTGTGCACCAGATGTGATTTATTATATATAATTTATAGCTTGCGCTGGAACTGAAAACTTTCACACAAAAAGAAAATAACAAAATGATCCAGTCAGAGAGCAGAAGGAGGCTCTCTTTTGGGGTGCCAGTTTCTTTTTTAAATATCACAGTTCACAAACAAAAATGGTACCACACATGTGTTTAAATGTTAGCATACAATATATAGAAATGAGTAGCCATACATAATACACAGAGTTTGTACTGTTTCTAGCTGAGCTCCAGCAGGTGGATTGCATCACCATTCCGTGCTTAGAAGCTACATGTCTTACGAACAAGACAACTCTGGCCACAAAAGAAATTGATTGCTGTTCCAACAAAAGTTAATACCTTCCGACCTTTTTGTTCAAGTGAGTTGACTGTGAGTTACAAAACATGTTTGTTATCAGGTAATCTAATCAAATGGGGGTAAAGAGAGAGATTGAGAACAGGCACATAATGAAAAACTCCATCTCAAAAACTCCCACAGTGGCATGTTGCTAACAAGCTGCATGTAAAATGTCTTAAAGGAACACTGCGTTTATGTGCGATGTCGCAGACTTCATGATCCACGCATTAAGGCAGATGAAAGGCCTCCCACACAAACCCATACGAGGCTTTAGCCGCTCCATTAGCCTCTTAATCCAGCCGCGGTGTTCAGAGGGACGTGTGTTTGATGTCCACTCAGCCATAGATCTGTCAGCGTCCAGAGTCCGACTGCGGAGACTCCACAGCTGCTGCGTCTGTCTGCTGCGGCTCGGACTGTCCCACATGTGCTGCCGTCTCAAGTCTGAAGAACCATAATCAGTGTGAATGTCACTGCTACAGTCAATGTGTGAAGGAAAAGGAAGGTTTAGGTGTTAAGATTTTTAAGATTCCAGAACTGAAGCATTTTTATCTACAATCATCACTATTTAATGTGCTCTATTTCAATAGCGAGCCTGGTATTTTTATGGTTTTGAAATTTCAGTGTTGCATCTCAAGTTACAGAACAGTAAGAATGAGGAGCACACAGCACAAGATAAAATAAAACAACATATCTTAGTCAATCAAAGAAACATGTATAATATTTCTATCTTGAACATAATAAATAAGTATAACATTTATAAATTACTGTGCGTTCTAGTGCAAGAAATATGTAGTTATTATAATTTACCATCTGTACATGTTAGCAGCTGTATGTTTACATCTGTACATGTTAGCAGCTGTATGTTTACATCTGTAGATGTTAGCAGCTGTATGTTTACATCTGTACATGTTAGCAGCTGTATATTTACATCTGTACATGTTAGCAGCTGTATATTTACATCTGTACATGTTAGCAGCTGTATATTTACATCTGTACATGCTAGCATCTTTACCACTGATTACCAATTTAGTCGACATGTTTGAGGCCAATATCCCCAAAATAACAATGCAGCCAACTCAGGGCCCATACAACATGTAAAAATTGAGTTAGAACGAAATTTCACTAATTATAATAAAATAACAATTTCACAACCCCCACTCATGCCTCTCAACCTTATGGGGACAGGGCTGGGAATGCTCTTAAAGTTTTGGGTATCAGACCAGTACGGTGGCCCAGAGGTTATGCCCTTGTGGTTCACAGCAAGAGGGTTTGATCCCACCTCCAGACGTGGCCTTTCTGTGTGGAGTTTGCGTGTTCTACCTGTGTCTGGGTAGATTACAATAGGTCTGAATGTAATGAGTGGGTAAATAAATGGGGATGTTTGAAGACTTTGATGTGCCTTTGTGTTCGGCGTCTCGCTTCTGTCATCACCTTGTGTGGAGGAAAAAAGGAAGTTACTGGTCACCAACATTTGTAAAGCTTCATAGACCACGGGCACAACAAAGCGCGACCTTGGTCTATGAAATAGATATAAATAATTATTACTTTCAAGTTCTGAATTTTGCTTCCTTTTCTGAACCGTTATGTCAAATGTAAATTAGGATGTATTAAAAAGAAAAAATAAGTTAAAAGAAGTATTTCTATTCTTCTAATTGTTTCTTTTTTCACATGACCAAAAATAAGTGATATTGGATCATTTCCCAAGGCAGACTGAAAAACATCTCAAGGCACACGAACGTCCCGTGCCACACAGGTTGAAAAACACTGCCTTAAGGAATGAAAGCATTTTGAATGTTTTGAATGGAAGACGAGCGCAGTTATTTGTTGTTTATTTTAATTTGTTTATTGTTTTCAGTCTGCATGGTTTGAACGGGGGGCGATGATGATGATTGTAATGTGTATCTGTTTCCTCTTGCAGCTCCTCTTGACCAGGACCCCTCCACAGTGCTGCCTCTCCTCTCTGGACACCTTTGGGAATGGGCCAGCACATTGCCAGGGTGCCTGTCTCCGTCCGGTGGTGTGGCTGGCGTCGTGCGAGAGTGAGGAGGGCAGCGCACAGCCGATAGACCCTCTTTTGGACCCTCCTCCTCCTTTACCGTTTGACTTCACCTCTGCCCCCTTTGCGCCGGCCAGTCCTGAGTCATGCCCTTCCGGCTGAAGCTGCGGCGCACGCGGCGATACAACGTCCTGAGCAAGAACTACTTTGTGACGCGGATTCAGCTCCTGGACAACACGGTGATCGAGTGCACGCTGTCTGTGGAGAGCACCGGGCAGGAATGTCTGGAGGCCGTGGCCCAGAGACTGGAGCTCAGAGAGGTGAGCTGACCACTGTCCATCACCCATCTTACTGAATCTACACACTGACAAATAGAGGGGAAGCAGAATCCTAACTGTGTGAAAGTATATGACTGTAAACAGACACAGCTACTCATTGTTTGTGAAGAATGATCAATGTACAGTACTATATATTTTTGTTTCTTACCTGGACAATGACCGCTAATGATTGACTTAACTCAAGTTGTAGAAATAGGCAGTAAAGATCCAGATGCATTTTTTTCTTTCTTCCTAAAACAAGTGGACCTTAGAACATGATTTTATTAATGTGGCTCTCTTCACTCTTCTCTTCTGTGTCTTCACTTTTCCTCATTTAAGACACATAGAGTGGGGCAAAAAAGTCTTTAGTCAGCCACCGATTGTGCAAGTTCTCTGCAAGTAAAAAGATGAGGGAGGCCTGTAATTTTCATCATATATCGCTACAGAAAGAGAAAAATAATCCAGAATATCACATTGTGGAGTTTGGAGTGTGATTGTTGGAGGTTGTGGACAGGTGTCTTTCATACTGATAACAAGTTCAAACAGATGCCATTAATACAGGTAACAAGTGTAGGACAGACTCTTAAAGAAGGAGTTAAATCTTGCTTGTTTGTAGGTGACCAAATACTCATTTTCCACCATAATTTCCAAATAAATTCTTAAAAAATCAGACAGTGTGATTTTCTGGATTTCTTTTCTCATTCTGTCTCTCATAGTTGAGGTATATACATGTGATGACAATTACAGGCCTCCCTCAACTTTTTAAGTGGGAGAACTTGCACAATTGGTGGCTGACTAAATACTTTTTTGCTCCACTGTATATAATACATTCATGGGCATATTTACGTGTGCAAAATGAATAGCACTCCTTTACATAGGAACACTTTGAGTTATTGCACACAGAGAGAATAAGCCTTGAACTCATGAGACTGATTATATGTGAAGAGTATGGGTCGTTTGTAAAACAAGGAGACATTGCAAGTGGTTTGGTTTATTTATATATAGCTACATTATGTCAAAGAGTCGAGCTTAACCTTCCACAAGGCTGTCACCAATGTTTAGAAGTCTATAGCTCAATCACAAATCTACGGAGGTGATCGATGTGCTGCTGTTGAGGCACTTAACCTCAGATACTTTTGTCTTGACCTTCACTCCTATTCCACAAAAGAAGAGCATTTCCTGTCACTGTGCATTCGTAGTATGGAACACATCAAACACCAGGTTGTAGACACATTTGCACTCACAAACACACACTCATTCACCCGTCCGCAGGTGGAATCGAACTCAGAAACTTTTGGCTGTGAAGTACAATCAAGATGATGTCTGCCATCCCACACAGAAAACAGCTTTTAAAGCACTAGTTTATGTCAATTTCTTAAAACAATTGTTTAACCCTCCAGGCAGGTGTTGCAGATTTGCAACAACTTAATTTCTTATTGCCTAACTACTCCGTGCACATCCATATTTTTGACCCTTTTTAACTCAGAAGTACTCAGAAATATCTCCTCTGGGTTTTCCCCCGGGTCAGCACTATTTACCACAGCGGGCCAATGTTGAAAATCTGCCACATCCCAGAATGCATTGCCTGTGAAGATCTCTCTCTTTCTCAAAAAATTAAAATAAAATCAGGATTGTATATTACTACCCCATATGATAATTTTCCATAAATATCAGATTTTTCCTGTATTTCAAATGTAGTTGGACCCTGAGAGGGTTAAGTGCAGAAGAGTAATGTTATAACAGAACCAAAGTATTTAAAAACACATATGTAATTATAGTACATATCCTTCTGCTGGCTGTGAACAAAGACAGAGTGCCACGTGTGTCTTGGCCTCTGTTACTTCAGGGTCAGTGCAGTAGAACGGGAGACTGGCACAATTGTTCCTTTAGTGCTGCCACCTCCTACATGTCTCACCACACGTCCTTTTCACTCTTAAAAGTTAAAACATATTTTATCAGGAGAACTACATACAGTCCACTGCCTGTGTTGTCAAAAGTTCACGTTCAGATGAAAGTTTCTCAAATTTCTTTTTAGGTTTGTGATTACATTTTTCTTTTAAACTTCACATATGTTTCCATTACTTGCTAAAATATTACTATGCGCATCTGTGTATGAAGCACACCCGCTAATTTTGAAAAGAAAAGGCATTTTTACATGTAGGCTTCACTTGAATACAAGCTGCAGGTTTTCTTGTTGTAAAACTTAACCAACAGCTGATGGACCGAATCAAACCCGATAAATGTCTGTTTTAACTGGACACAGCACGATTTTATGAGTAGATGTTTCAAGCCACTTTGACATTAAACATTTTTCCCATCTTTATTAGTATTTGGTGGAGTCAAAATAATGTAACTAGATAAAGAAAATAAAAATAAAAAGCCCATTGCTATATAAGCCACACGGTTAAAAGAAAAAAAAAAATTTCAGCAAGTATTTTAATCAATTAGATGAAAGAATAATTTCTAGATTAATGAAGTTTAAATCATAATTATAATCGTAAAATATCTAAATATCCCTATGTATACGATTTTTTTTCTTCTGTGGTTCTAAACTATATTTGATAATTATATTTGGCCCTTGAGTCTCGCATATATAATCCTTTAACCACTTCACAGAGTTGCGTAACCCTCTGTGTGTTTGTGTGTGTTATTATTGCTGAGATCAGAGCTTGTGTAGTTTTACGTGACTTTGTGTCTGTCTGAGCGTCTCAAGCAGCCGTGCGTACTTGCGTGGTGTTGTGGTATTTCCCATCTCTCAGTGGAGCCATAAAACACTGGGATGTGACGCCTCCTCTGCCCCAGCTCCTGTCTGCTCTATGTGGAGTCTTTTGTCTTTTTCTTCTGATTTTCACCTGCAGCGCTCAATGTGTCTGAAGGAAACTTTACGACTTTTATCACTTTTATTAGTCAAACCACATGAATTAAACAGGTGTGAGATGATGCTATCGCTATGATGCTATTTCAGGCTCTCCGGTCCGGGCATGTTGGATATTAAAAGTTAGTGTTTGTTAATTTGCTACTGTTGAGTGTACTCTTATTTGATATTTACATTTTATGTGTAGTATTTTTATTTCGGTATATTATACGTGGAAAAAAAGTACTACAGTAAAAGCATGAAAATACAAGCATTTCAAGGTACTCAAGTAAAAAATGCATTTTTGTTTAATAATTGACAGATATTTCAAACTTTACCTTTGAAACACAACATTATACCATTGTTGTAAAAGTTTACACTGGCATGACAATAAACACAACACAATTCAAGTCAAAAACGTGGTGATAAACTAATACTGTAACCACAGCTGCCCTGTGGCAGACTGACAGAAGCGAGGCAACCAGCTCGACCACCACCAATCATTCACTCTCACATCAGACTGATTCTAGGCAATGGGGGTGAAGTGTCTTGCCTAAGGATACAACCACAGTTTGACGCTTTATAGCCGCAGCCGCCTTGCTGTAGCGCCTGGTGTTCCCAGAGGTCCCCCATCACAGTAATAACCAAGCCCTGCCTTGCTTTGCTTCAGATGTTGTCTAAATCTTGATGTGTCTCCTAACAACTGACCCCTCAGGTGCCTTCTGTCCCTGAATTTGGTTTTAGCTTTAACCGACCAACACCGCACCTGATTGGCTCTTTGGTTGCTAGGTTATTCATCCACAGATTTGGCTCACGATTTTATGGAGGCTGTAAGAGTTATCTCTAATCAGATTCTTCCTTAATAAGGCAAACACTTTTGGGCGATGGTTTGTCCACTCCTTGTAAAGTCTATACTTTGTACGCATCAAAACCAAAGTCACTTTATTTGATTATATTTGTCTTATTTTATATATTGCTTTTCACATAGTTGCTTGACAATCTCATTCATGTGTGTTTTTGACTTTTGGACTGTATTTTATGCTGTTATACGTTTCAAACATATATATATATATATCTCCATTCCTCTTACTTATCGCACATCTCTCCCGTCCCAGACCCACTACTTCGGGCTGTGGTTCCAGGGGAAGACCCACACTCCGAACCATCGCTGGGTGGAGCTGGAGAAACCGCTCAAGAAGCAACTGGACAAATATGGCAACGAGCCGCTCCTCTTCTTCGGAGTCATGTTCTACGTTCCCAATGTGTCACTTTTGGAACAAGAAGTCACCAGGTACGGCGTTACGAGACACTACATATGGAATCCACTGCACACATGCTTTTTTTAATATATATATATATATTTTTTTACCAACGAAAGACATGTCAGTGCTGTGTTTTTGGTCTAGTTGGATGTGCCAATGAAAAGAGCTGACCAATGCCTCATAAATGTGGAATAACGTAAATGCGGCTTGACTTGGTTGAGTTTGGCCAGAAATATTGGAAAGGTTTTTCATGCCTCATTATAGTTTTAGTTTATTTTAATGTCTATTGGAAACTTAATTTTGTCTATTGGAAACTTTCCATTTTTGCTGTAACGTTTAGGTGCTCTATGCATTTTTCTTGTGGTTCATTCACTGCAACCTGTTTTGCTTTGAGTAAATTGTTAGAGTTTGGCCTCTACATGATCTGTTCAATTACAGAGGGTCATATTTACACAGATTTATGCAAAAAAATTGAAAGTGGGTGGTTGTTGGTGCAGGACCCTTGCACCAAGCAAAAAATTGCTTATTTCCTATTCTTCAGGATCACCTATACCTGTTGTTTAATCATATGTTAAATGCTCGATAGCTACAAATGTTTAAAATGGTAATCCACTGTGCAAGGAAATATCATTGTTTTGCATAAATGTTAAACATTTTTATTTATTCCAATTATTTTTCAGTATAGAATTTTTAGTGTAGAATTTTTAGTATAGATGTATTCAATATAGATTATTTTTAGTATGGATTTTTTCAGTATAGAATAGATTATTTTTATTATGGATTTTTCCAGGATAGAATTGATTATTTCTTGTATGGCTATAAATCCCAAATGAGTTTCCAGTCTCACATTTTTACATTTGTAATCTGATTTTCGATGTTCGGTTTTTTCTTTTTTTTGACAACCCCACACTGGACAACACTGACAGAACTCCTGAAAGCCTGCACATCCGTCCACATCAGTGTCAGAGAGTGTGAAGAGTCTCTATCCATGAAAAAAGGCCGTCCAGGGGTCAGTGTGCAGCCAGGGCTCGCAGAGACACCTCACGCTCAGCTCCGTTTAGCACTGCTCTGATGAATCTGTGGCTTCTGCATGGCTGCGTGTGGGAAAGGTCAGCCGCTGGTCACCGCTGGACTTTGGGAGCCCAGAGATACCTGTTACCAAAGGATTGACCTAAGAGCAAGGATTCAAATTCAAATTCAAATTCAGTTTATTTGCCATTCGCAGTAAAAAACCACATTGAAATACACATGCAAAATAATGAATAATAATGCATTGGTTTTAAATGAGCTTTATACAGACTCTCAAAGACGCTTCACATGACATTATTCATTCACTCCGCCCCACCGTGGCACTTGGTGTTCCCAGTGGTCTCCCATCACAATACTAACCAGGCCTGGTCCTCCTTAACTTCAGACTGACGGGATCTGGCTTTCACATGCAAAAGTATCCCAATGTACATAAATACAATAAGTTACAAAGTACAACAATTGTCGCTTTGAGAACGATAACAAAAACAGTTTAAACAAAAGTGCAAGATCCTTAAAGTGCTTGGTTCAGACTGATAACAGTTTGTGGAAAGAAGCAGTTAGCATATCCAGATGTCCTGCATCTCAGCGATTCTGTCAGAGGGAAGAAGCTGGAACATGGCTTTTCCAGAGTGGCAGAAGAGTTACTGATTATTATTTTGTTTAAATAACTCCATCTTCTTTCTAAGTTTTGAACAACATGGACACAATGTACTGACTAAACCAGGACGAAGCTGTGTTTTGAGAAGGTGTGATTAGCAGAAAAAAACAAGCTGCATGCTATGGGAAAATACATGATACTGTATAATGGTTCAATTGAAAAAGTCTGAAAACTCTTGAAATGGTGTTAGAGTATTGATTTATTTCAGTATAGATTATTTTGGTAACGGTTTTTTCAGTACAGATTTGATTCAGTATAGGTTTTTTTCAGTATTGATTATTCTTCATGTATTAATTTATTCCTTCAATCATTAGTCAAAACTATTTCTTGCACAGAACAGACATTTTTACATAAAAAATGTGACAAATTTTCAGACTTCCGTTTCTTTTGGATTTTTAGAAAGGCTGTTTTTGTGTAAGTACCAAACATATTATTGTTTATGATGTATTTTACGAATTGCAAGCGAAAGGTGATAGTGAAAGTGTGGCTTGGTAACAGAGGATCTGCCTGGATAAGGGGATGGTATTTCAGGAATCCCCAGTAGGCTTTTATGGTGCGTGCGTGTGTGTGTGTCATGTCAGTGTGTGTCTGTGTGTCTGTGTGTGCGTGTGTGTGTGGAGGTTGTAGGGTTGAAGGGTTATGATGGGGCCTTAGGGCAATTAAGCGAACAATAGCCACTCTTTTTTACCTTCAGAATCCCCAAAGCCTCATCAAATTCCTGCACATAGTGTCATCCATGGAGCTTTCTTTTTCAACCATTATATTTGTGTCCATCGCATTCTTCCTGTTCTTTCACAACCTTTCTTTTCTTTTCTTTTTAGTCAAGAATGTTTTGGCCCAGAGGTGCAGTATAGGAGGCGTTCATGCATTCCTTGGGGCATAAGTGCTGGGGGTAACATAAGGGGGTGAACTAGGGGTGTGCTACTCATTGCATCACACGCACACACACACACATAGACACACACACACACACACACGTGCACGAATACACCTAAACAGGGTCGCCCCACGGTCTTTAAATCATTAAAAAAGTTATTCAATTTGAGCCAAGTCCAGATTGACCAAGTTCAATTTGATATTTACCCTTTTGGAAAACGACGGTCTTGTTTGTCTCTTCAAGAGACAAAAATAGTGGATGTATTCTACCCATTCATTTATTATAGCGAGGTCTGGTAAAGCCTAAATAATTCCAATCAATTGTAAAAACTTTGTCGTTTAGCACTGCAATTAGCCCTGTGCCAAAGCTTTAGAAATATCTATTATTTATTAACAAATATTAAAAAAGCTGTTTATTATTGAAAAAAACGCCCCTGTCCTGTGGTTTGTAGTGTTTCCTATGCAGCAATGTGAAACAGTCTTAAAAATAACTTTAATTTCACTCAACCAAACCTGGAGCAACTATTTTTTTTAAATCAAAAGTAAAAAATGAAAACTTCACACATACATATGGAGCGAATACTTCAAACCTCAACATGTTAATTGACTATAATTCTTAAAGTTTTATACCGTCCATTTTGACTGTCTATATATAAAGATATTTCCCTCACTTATCTTACCTAATTGCTGTATTTTGCAACCACAAAAATCGAGCCTTACTGGCCACATTAATCCATTACTTCTATTTTCTTTCTCTTTTTTTTGTTTCCATTAAAAACCAGGGTTGAGTTTTACAGTTATCACCATTTTTCTGCCTCTGCAAAGTAATGAATCAGATCGCACCACGGGACAGCCAGACTAAACCATGCCAGGTGCAATAACCAGCTCTAGGGCCCGACTTGTATTCACGTCTGCTCTGGATTTTAGAAAAAAGGGTTAGACACCCCCACACACACACACACACACACACACACACACACACACACACACACACACACACACACACACACACACACACACACACACACACACACACACACAAATGATTAGCCCCTTTCCTCTCTGCAAACCAAAACATAGTGGATCAGTGGAGTACCGTGGATGAACTTGAGATATCGAAATGTTTGCTTTAGAGAGGTAAAAGCCGCCATTTGCCCAAAATCGTTACAAAGCCATTATTTTCTCGTTGTATAAATATATTTCCTAGAGTTATGTCAAACTCCTGTAGAGAGAGAGCGCTTATTGTTTGGGCCAATGCAGCAGGAGATTTTGGCCACCAACATTGTTTAATTTTCACAGCTGCAGCAGAAGGAGCTCTTGAATGGATGGATCGGGTTACACTTCACTTCAAAGACTGCAGCACTTTGCACCGCTCTCGTTATTGCTCTGAAAATAAAGTGCCGTGTTCTTGAGTTTATTCAAAAAAACCTACAAATTCATTCACAAGAATTTATTTGCTGTTTGGAGTAAAACCAAATTGCAAAATAGTGACACATTTGGGGTAAAATATGTCTCTCAGCCAGACTGGGAATGCCTCTGGATTATAGGCAATGGATAAAGCGGAAGAATATAGATGGATGGATGGCAAAAATATAGTGATAATAATTAAGGCTGCAGCTAGCATTTATTTTAGTAATCAAGTCTTGTATTGGTTATTATCTTTGCTTAATCGAGTAAACTATGACATTTTTTCACATCCTTAACAGCATTTGTTATATATTTTAACAAAAATAGACATTTTAAAGAAACTAATGAATTCAAACTCTTCAGAGCAGTGTTGACACCAGGCAGAAGCAAACAGTATGTGTGGAAAACAAGTGCTGGTGTTAGTTCTGTGCACTGATTGGCAGTTTCACATATTTTTAAAGGTGCATTATGCCAGTTTTTGCGTGAATGAAAATAACTAATTATGAATAAAAAACGAATTATGTCAGTTTTTGCGTGAATGAAAATAACTAATTATGAATAAAAAACGAATTATGTCAGAATTATGTCATAACCAGCTCTAGGGCCCGACTTGTATTCACGTCTGCTATATTTTTGGGTATTTGACCTTGACCCAGCATCGGTAAGAAGTATAGTATAGTACCTTCACTTTTGATTACGGTTGTGTCCACAGCACTCCAGGATTCACTTTTTAGTAGGTTTGCTGTTTCAGGGGTCCGACAACAGAGAAAAGAATAACACTCATACCGCCACTGGGTCACTATAAGGTCAAATATGCAAACATATCTTAAACATAATTAAATAGATATACTTTTTGCATAAGATTCAGTTTCAGAAAACTTTATTGATTCCAAAGGGCAATTCATTTGCAGCATAATCTCAAAGCAGAACACACAGTGAGTCAGGCCTCACATTCACACAGCAGCAGGTTACACAATACAAGGCACAACACAAAAATTACCCAAGTCAAACTCCTCTACCAGAGTTCAACAGTTTTATGGCAGAAGCTACAAAATAATTGGATAAAACTGTTTGTTTTCCACGCTGGAGCATAAAATCGACGCCCTGAAGGCATCCTTACAAAGTCAGCGATCAGAGGATGTTTGGGCTGAGCCAGAATGCATTTTGCTTTATTCAGCACCTGTTCCTCCCACAAAGAGTGAAGGTCTCTGAGTTTTCCTCCAGTGATTCTGTAACTTGTTTCTGCTCCAGCGTCAGGCTTTGGAACCAACAGATAAAAGAAAAGCTAAAAAAGGCTTTATAATTCACCTTTCAGTATTTACAAACGTTAATCAAGTAACCCGAGGCAAAGGGCTCGTAACCAAGGAGTATTTGCATTCAATGATTTCGACCAATTTGATTCATAATTTAATCTCTAATTGTAAAATAGGTTTTCAGATGTTGTCATTCATATTTCTCCACACTTCAACAACGGAATATCATGTTGAATTTCCCACAGTGCTGTATCTTAACGATAAACGGTGTCAAAGGCAAACCCTTGTGCTTATGTTGTAAATTCTCCATGATCTGGCCTCAACAACCCCCCCCCCCCCCCCCCCCCCCAAGGCCAAAAACACATAAAAGCCTTGAAACCCCCAGCTTTGTCAGTCGCTATCAGAATCACACATACAGCTGTACACTGTTGTCGGCCTGTGCTGATTCAACACATTTCAAAGTGCCTCCCACACAAGCCGTCTGGAGTCTGCACCCATCCCGAGGTGGGGGGGGGGGGGGGCAGGGTCATATAGCTGCACTGGGGGGGACGACTGGGAGCCCATATGCTTGGAGGCTTGTTGTGCAGGCTGCTTGGACATCTGGTGCTCTGTCCTGAACATGCGTGGGCACATAAGGGCTTCTTTGTGCTGGTGTGGCTGCCCTCGGTGCCCACTCGCATACTCTGGCCCGGTCGCCTGTCGCTCCTTGTTTTGGAGAATCGTGGCTTTGTCAGTGGAGGATGTCTGTGCGTTCACCTGTTCTCACACTGCAGTGCTAAATACCTTACTTGTTGGCACATGTTGATGGTATGAAGACAAGTGTCAGTGTGAGTTAGCAGGTGAAAAGCAGTGATTTGGCCAGCCACTATTACTGTGTTACTGTGGCTGTTTTTTTTTTTTCTCGCTACATAATCTATTGGTTGTTTTGCCTTTACACAAGGTCAGACAGAAAACACATAACCTTAAAAAAACAGACAGAAAACACATACCCCATTTAAATACCATCAGTTGTATTGCTGTTATAGCTTAATTGTATTGTGGCCTCTAGATCTAGATTTCTCTATTTATCTATCTTGAAGTATTAGATTTAAGCCTTTTTAACAAAACAAAATCAAAGTTCGCACTCATCATGAGAAGAAAGCAGAGTGCAAGCTGACACATATCTACAAATAGCTAATCTATTATGACGAATGTTATGTTTTTCTTGAATAGCTTTGTAACTGATGAATGTCATTGGCTTTGATAGATAATCGCAAAAACAGCAGAAATCGCAAAAATACCAGAGCTCTTGCGCACTTGTGGGTCTGGTGTTTAAGTTTAAGTTTGATATATTAAGGACAAAGATGGCTGCACCAGATTTAGCACCATGCTACTTTCCACCTGTAGTTCCTGACACACTAGAGTAGTCTTGCACAGTTTTTCCAATGGGGTTTTACTGCAAATGGCAAATACATTGAAATTAGTATCTTTTTTGTATGATCAACATGCTATATAGATATTGACGCGTTTACAGCTAGCTAATAAACATAGCAGCTACTTATTTTGTATATTTTGTGTGCTCTTACTACTGTCCTGTATGTGCGCTGCAACATTAAAATGGTTCTTATCTTATCTGACAATATTGGCCCGATAACTGTGTAATAGCAGAGCACACTAATAATAATTGTGTTTGTTTTTACTGTGCAATGTTTTCTTTTTTGTAGTACAGTAATCCTTCCATACAGTAGAGCTAACCGTCTCTATAATTAACTCACAAATATGTATCGACACCCCACATGTTGTTGTCATCGAACCTCAAAACTGTAGCACGGACCACGACGGCGACCGCATACAGAGATGTTGGGCCATATTCAAGTACGCAGCTTTTTGTCAGGCCAATCCCTCTGCCCACAACAAACCCCGCCTTCTCAAGGTTGGGGTGGGCTAATTAGAGGGTGAATGGCAGTTTAGCCGACTGGTGTAATGACAGGGTGAGGGAGGAGGGCGGCGTCAGATTATAGGGAGTTTGTGGAATGCAGCTTAAAAAAGGGAGAACATGAAGTGGAGATAAAAATGCGCAAAAGGAAATGAACTTGGATTATGTGGGGTGCATTTGACACATAAGGTCTCCAGTTTCTGAATTCGCATGAGGACCATTTATGACGATGCATGTCTTGTTATTAGAGCCATAAGGCGGCACGGTGGCTGAGTGGATAGCACTCTCGCCTCTCAGCAAGAAGGTCCTGGGTTCGAATCCCGGTTGGACCAGGGCCTTTCTGAGTGGATGTGCCTCCTGCACTGGCGGCCCCACTCCCCAAAAAAAATAACAATTGTAAACCGCTTTGAGACTCCGATGTGCAGTGAAAAGGCGGTATATAAATAAAGATATATACTACTACTACTATTAGGGTTGCCATGCTGATAAGACCCAATCCCAACTGTTGCCTTTGCTCTCCCAGTGTGGCAGAACATCCTCTCCACTCACTACTGCTAAAAGTGAACACAAACACCACTTTTTGTGGAATTTTCAACAATATTCAGATACTGTATATTCAGAAGCTGGGACTGATGGCAAAAAGCAGCTCTGACAGATGGTCTTCTTGAGGCATTTATAAGTGAAAAGAAAGAAAAGAGAACATCTCCAAGGATTTATTATGGTACACACCAAATATATATAAAATAGGATATTTAAAGGCATTAAACAGTTGCGAGATATTTACAAAGACAACATAAAGGAAACCGTACATACACGAGGACACACGAGAGAGAGGCTCTGGCCTTCAGCTGGGGTCTTCTGCTACATGTCGTTGCCTGAGAGGGGGTCCACAGACAGAGAGAGCCCCCAGTGACGGACCATTGATAGCAGGAGATTAAGATTAAGAGATCCTTTATTCGTCCCACAGTGGGGAAATATCAGTGTTGCAACACCGGTTACAGAACAGAATGAATGAGAACACGCAACACAAGATAAATGAACAATAACTCAATAAAATATCTAGCTTTAGCATAATAAAGAAGCAAAAATTAAGTACAAAAACTTGAATTTAGCATAATAAAGAAGTAAGCATAAAATCTTGAATTTTAGCACAATAAAGAAGCAAGTATCAAGAAATGTCATCCCAAATGTCAACAACCTCTATCGTATCTTTGACTATATGACCCTGTGCCGGTATGTTCATTAAGTATTTTTCAACATTAAGGTATTTTAAATAGCCGCTGTTCTTGGTAAAACCACAACCATTAGAATGTTTTGACAAATTAATTTTGTCCGATCAGAAAGCTGTGAGGGTGAGTATGAGTCTAACTGATGCTTGTGCTTGAATTCTTTCACATTGGAAAATGAACCGACATTCACTTTAAGATGACATTTCAGACATTGCCCTAAGCCAACACGTTTCAGCTGAGTGAAGACTCATATCGGAAAATGTCTGTTTTCATTGTCCCACCCACATTAATCAATTCCATGAACTGTACAGACTTTATATAGACCTCCAAGAAACTAGGATCGTTTACACATTAGACGTCAGTTACATTTATAAATCATTTCTGTGGAATCAAATGTAGTATCACAACAACACTGGTCCAATACTTACCACAAGTCTACTTGCAGATGCCATCCTCTTGCATGACATTAAACTTATGAATGTCTGTGTGGCATGGAACTTCATTGTTACTAACTTTCTTTGTTACTGTTGTTGCAGGTATCAGTATTACCTTCAGCTGAAGAAGGAGGTGCTGGATGGACGTCTCCACTGCACAGTTGAGCAGGGCATCAGACTAGCAGGACTAGCAGTACAAGGTACACATGTTTGGCCTCTTATCCACTTACATTTCATGTGACTAATTAACCGTGTTGTATGAGAGAGCAGACGTTCACTGGTCATCTCCACTCCGCTCCTAATATGGCCACATACCACAGGAAGAACTAGTCCACTTGAGTTCCTCTGGTATCAGTCTCAGCACACATCTCTGGGTCCTGTTCCCGGGTGCTGTCAGTTTCTCAGAGGAATGTAAATAGTTAGCTTTTTGCAAACTCCAAGGTTAGTCTTTGAAAGGCTTTATCTGCCAGGAATCTTCTGCTTCTTTATCCAACATCCATGTTCAATGTTCAGGATGCACTAAATAAAAGATTAAATATGATAGCATAAGATAGCATAAGATAAGATAAGATGTGCTTTATTTATCTCACAGAGGAGAAATTTACATGTCACATTTGGCATGGATAGAACACTCAGATTGTGCAAAAGGAGGAAATGTGCAAACATGTTACATGCAGGATATATGTACAATAAAAGTGACAATAATTATGTACAACAAAAGTGACAAGTGTCAATTGGAAACAGTGTCAATAGTAGTGCAGGTTTTCACACAGTGATCATTTAAAGTGACTTATTGTACAGTCTGACAGCGGTGGGGATAAAGGCCCTGCGGTAGCGCTCCTTCCTACACTGAGGGTGTAGGAACCATACCCCAGTGTTTGTGTAGTTGTGCTATAACAGATCATCATGTACCAATTTTATGTTTGTCTTTATAGCTGACTTTGGAGACTACACTCTCTTCAAGTCCCAGGACTTCCTCAGAGAATACGTGCTTTTCCCTGTGGTAAGTTTTACGCTTCAGAGTGAATATAGTTGTGTGAGTTTGTGCAGCCTGCAGGCACACATTCTACATGCTCTTGTGCAGCCTCTTAAGATACCTGAATGACAGGTACAAAAGACAGAGACACACACAGCCAGCATGCAGGCAGGAAAAACTCATACAATGATGCCCTACACTGTAGTCACTAACAATACCTGAACAACAAATGTGACCGTTATATTTTGTAGAATTGGCCAAATGGTGATGAAGTCTTGGAGGAGTGGACGCAGAGGGTCGCAGAAGAGCACAAGAGTCATCGGTATTCACTCACTTCCTCATTATTCCTCTTTAAAAAACCTTTTTTTCTTTTAGACATAATTCGAAGTAAATATAACTCACTATATTTTCTGCTTTTATTTCCTACATAGTCAAATGCATATTCCGGAAGCAGAGCTGCGGTACATCAGAGAAGTGGAGAAACTGGATGGATTTGGACAGGAGAGCTTTGCTGCAAAGGTAACACAGGGAATAATAGAAATGAGTCTTCTCCCCAAGTTGGCGTCATAATAATGATCTCACTAATTATTATTTTAATTTTTTCTAAAGGACAACTACACAAATGACATTTTCATTGGCGTCTCTTTTATTGGAGTTTTTGTTAAACACAGAAATGGGAGGTCGATCATGCTCCACAGGCAAGTCTTAAGTGAAATTCAACAGGAATATGGATTAGTCTCTGCATGAATGTAGTTGTAAAATGTACATTTTGTGCTCTTGCGCTGCACAGATGGAAAGACATCGGCACGATTGCACACAACAAATCAGCCATCACCGTGGAGATAACGAGCAGAGACGACACTATCAACTTTCACATGGTGAGTGTTGTGTCTGCAGAGGCAGCCTGCACTGGGAAGTGCTGCTATGTAAACCATGTCAAAAACCTTGCACTTTGAAAATAGAAATCTTATCAATGTATGTGACTGTATTTGCAGGAGGATATGGAAATGGCAAAGTACATTTCTCGTCTTTTCACGTCCAGACATAAGTTCTACAAGCAAAACAAGATCTGTGCTGAGTAAGTGGATGACACCCATAAGTACTTTGATAATTGTTTACTTCTAGTTGAAATAAAAGTCAAATCTAATCATTTGTGTATTGTTGATCGCTCTGCTGCTGGCTCCAAACACACAAATATAAATATGATATTCACTGGGGTGGGAATCTACACGTTTTTTCTTCCTCCCACTCCTTTCCGTTGATGAAGATATGTTTGGAATTTCTATGTACTGACATTTGATAATAATGTTTGATGTACATTGAACTCAAAATAAATAAACACACTCAAAACACTCTTAGTTGACCCAAACATTAAGGTTTTCTCAGACATTTGAAGTGATACAGACAGAAGGTGGAGCCCTGAAACGTTATAATAGACAGTGAAATACTTAAAAAAATAGAAGAAAAAGAAAGCTATGTAGAAAGACACATGACATCATATTTTGCCTGAGAGCAAAGCATACTTAACTCTTTTCTGTTACCCCTTATTGTGATATTAGCATGGACAGATATGTTTGTACTCTTTTGTTTGTTTTGCGACTAATGCATATATGTTGTTGTTTAGGCCCACCCACTCCCCAGCACCTATTCGAAGACGCTCCACTTGGACTCACCGTCTTTCTCTGGTAAAGACAAACTCACATTCACTTCACCGATGTTTACTGTCTTCAAATTTAGAACGACTGTGTTTAATTCAAACCAGTTAAAGTAAAAACAGATGCTGCTAATCAGAGTTAGAACGGAGAGAAGAATGGGTGACCTAGTTTTGTCAGCCAGCGAGCCCTTTTTGGATGGTTTAGCTTCAGTGGCACAGTGGGCGTTGTTGGAAAGTTCTGTCGCTGATTTCCGGTTGCAACAATGAAGCCAATGATTTGTGAGTCTCCCTCCCTGCTGCCCAGACAATGACCAAACTAAATATGGCACAATAGTTTATTACATATGTCAAAGATGCTAGTGAGTAAACCACACATTCCGCACTGATTGGACACATACATAGGAAGTGTTCACTGCAAAAAGGGATGAACCACATTTTGACTGCCTTGAAACAAAATTTGCCAATGGGACATGCAAAATCATCTTGTTTTAAAAAGATACAAGAAATATCTCCCTTGGAATGAGAAAATAAAGCAACAGTTCTTAATCTGAGAGTAAATGGCTTTGTCCCATTGGTAAATCTTGTTTTAAGACAAAAAAATACTCATACTGTATTATGTAATACAGTATGATGCTAAATTGTTTTTGTCTTGTGTTTTTCTGCACACTCAGCCACGGCCTCAATCCTGCAATTTCCAGCCAATGCGCTCGCAATATGGAGAGCACCATCAGGATATACAGAGCTCTCAAGGTGAGGAGAAACAGAACTTGTGATGCTTGTAACCCCCAGAGTTTTGGTTTAAAGCAAAACATTTTAACAGAGCTAATTGTGTTTCCCACAGAGGATCTAAGAGTGTCCATTTTTATTTTAACAGTCTCCCAGGCAGTTAAATGCAATGTGAAGTTCTGAAAGCGGTGACCTCATGCGAGCTTTAGTCTTTCATTGACTTGTTCTCACAGTGGTGGAGTGGTGCTGGTGTCCACAGTAAAACAGAAAGTGTGGAAAAAACATTCTGGGTGTGTTTTATATGTGGCTGATCACTCTGCAGGGCGACCTCAGACATCTCCCCATTTGTCTGGACACAGATTAAAGCTCATGGACCCAACTTACAAACTTTTGGTTTCTTAAATACATGCTGTTTGTCCCAACAGAATGAGTCTTGTTTAAGGAACGACAGACCACAACATGCTGTCTTCGTCTTATGGGAAAACATGTATCTTTTACATACTGAAACCTCATTGGCTGAGTCAGGGTTATGACCAGCCTTTTCAATTTTCTGATTGAAAAAGTTGGTCTAAAGATGTGTTAGAGCCCAAAAAATACATGCATGTGAAAAATAGTGATAGAATTAAACTGTTTTGAGAGGAAGGAACAAGTTAGGAGGAAGGAGGAAGGAACAACAATGGATTTAATTATTTGTTTGTGGTTGAAAAGTTATGTACCTAAGGTTTCCGTTTGGGTGTACGGTAGTTAGGGTCGCATACATTAAATAAACTGGAATTCATTTTCTGAATGGAGTGATAGTTTTTGAATGGAAGCACAAGTTAGACCCACCCCCACAGGTTCCTGAGTGGACACAATTAACTCAAATCCTTGACAGACAGCGGAGGCCTCTCATTGTTGGTCTAACCATTCTCCCTTAAGCAAATCTGACTGGTGATGCTTTCACCAAGAGGGGAAAATATAAGAAAGACTAGATGTCACATTTGTCATAAATAGGATCAGTCTGGGTGTGCAAAAGAAAGGAAATGTGTTTACAGGGAATGTGCAACATGTTAAAAAGTGCAAAGATAGATATGAATACGTTCATACTTGAAAATGAAATGCAATTGGACTGGTTGACATCACCTTTAATACTATATTTTTCATAACATTTCCTTTCTTCACTTTACAGACAGTATCTTCCCTGATGACCCCTACTACAAATCAGAAACCAGTCTTGACATTTGCCAAATGGACTTTCCCTACCGCAACGGCAGTGTCCCTAATGGAAGCATGTACAGCAGCCCCAGCTTGAGCTCTCTAAACCACTCCCAGACCTTCATCGCTCCATCGCCCATGTCCTCCAACCTGAGCATCCCTGGGAGTGAGCTGATGCGGCCGGACTACCTCCCCAGCCATCGCCACAGCGCCATCATCGCCCCGTCGTACAGACCCACCCCCGAATATGAAACTGTGATCCGGCACAAGAGGCGCATGCTGCCGGCGCATCAGGACCTCCACAGCCAGTCCCTGCGCAGCCTCAACATCAGTAACGCCTGTGCTTATAGACAGCCTGAGGTCCTGGTGTACAGCCAGCCAGAGATGAGGGAGAGGGGGCCGTATCCTAGCTGTCCTGGACCCTACACGGCGCAGGTAAAGGCATATTTGTTTTGTATGTTTTCAAATATGTAAGCGTTCATAATACTTCAACTGCTGTCTGAAATATGGTTAGAAAAAAGTCTCAATAGCCCCTAAGTAGTCTCAGTAGCCCCTTTTATTATCTATTATCTCTAATAATAGATCCAGTTTGATGTGGGCATCATCTAAGTGCTTCTATTTCACCTTCTATTCTGCTGTAATGTGCGCAACTATGGCATTGAACTTTCTCCACTGAGACAAATAAAAGTTTGTCTTATCTGATCTTATCTAATTAGCAGAAAGGCTCCTGAGCTCCTGAATTCACGGGACTTTCTATACAGCGACCTGGCTTCCTACAAAAGTTTCCTAACCTTTTTCTTTTATTTATTTTTGTTATTGATTTAATTAGTCTCTATTCCTTGTTAAGTTTCAGAGATCCACTATGTCCTTTGAGGACAATACCATTTCTTTCTTTTTGATGACTCAACTTTATTTTTTGCACAAATATAAAAGTATATTTACAAGAGATACGAGTTCTTCAGGGATCATAAGGATAAAGAAAAGCATCCAGTATAGAAAGGAAGACACACAGACACACAGCATTGTCTGAGTGTCTGGGGCACTCATTGTCTAAACAATTGGTGTCTGTTCTACAAATACACAGGTAATTATAATTATGAACTTGATAATTATTAACTGCCATTTCTTTGTTTCAGATCAGCTACAGCAAACCTGTGTCCCATGGCCCTCATCAAGGAGGCCCTGCAAACTCACCCGGCCCGGCTGCGGTCTGCGTTAACGGAGGAGGTGTCAGCGCTAACGGGAGCTCTATATCTCACACTGTTAGCACCCCTGAGTTGGCAAACACCAAACAAGGACCTAATACAGGCAGCTACGCCGCTACCGCTAACATGCTACGGAATCACCTGTCGCGGCCGCCTCCTCCGTACCCCTCCAACTCTTTCAGACCTGCCACCAGCACCCCAGACCTGGCCAGCCACCGACACCGCTGCATCGGAGGCAGCAGTCCCGAGCTGGTCACGCGCATGGTCCAGCTATCGGTAAAGACTTTCCAGCCGGATAGCTCGGCCGTGGTGCACCAGTCTCTGCAGGAGGCCAGTGAACCGCTAACGGCAGCGGCTAAGCATCGCTCCACACTGGGCAAAAGGCACAGCATGGAAGTGATCAGCAGCATGAGGGCGGGGGCCGTGGAGGGGCTGGTCATGAAGAGTATCAACGCTCCTCTGTTGCGGCGGAACACTCTGAGAGAACACGTCGTACCGCCACAAGCCATACCGCAGCCTCCCCCTCCCCAGCCGCCTCCCTCCCAGCAGTTAAAGGACATCCCAAAACAGATGCCTACCCAGAAATCACCCGAAACGCCTCCTCCTCCTGCTGCTGCTGCTGCTCCGGTCGCATACCAGCATCAGAAGACCCTCTCCAACGCCACTATGCTCATTCACAGCAGCGAGAGTGAAGAGGAGGAGGAAGAGGAGAGGCCAGAGCTGGACGTTCAGATCCCAGGTTTGAACGAAGACATCAGTATTAGCGCTCAGCTGCAGGCCGCTCTGGCGAAACTACCAAACAAACCTCCACCGGAGTACCCAGGTCCCCCGAGACCACCGAGCTCGGCCCAAATGCGCACCAACCACCCTCACAACCACAATCAGGCCAATCACACCCCCGTGGATCCTAATCAAGTCCACACCAGAGCACTTACAGGTGGGCCAAGCCAGAACTCTGTGCCGAATGGAGACGATGGTAACGAGGCTGGGACTCTAACGCGTGCGGATCAGAGCGTGGTGAATGGGGGCGTTTTGGGGCCCTCCATTTCTGAACCGGATCTGACCTGTGTGAAGGAGCGAGTGCGGAAGGAGCCGGTGAAAGAGAGGCCTGTTTCTGAGATGTTCTCCCTGGAGGACAGCATCGTGGAACGGGAGATTGCTCAGAGGGTGAGGGCAGCACCAGTGAAGATAAAGAGATGCTTTATTCGTCCAACAGTGGGGAAATTCCAGTGTTGCTAAAATACCACTGATACTAAAGTAAAATAAGATAAGAATTCTAACTTTATCATAATAAATAAGCAAGTATAACATGTCTAGCTTTAGCATATAAGGAAGCAAATCTTAAAGCTCCAACTTTAGCATAATGAAGAAGCATCTTTGGCATAAAATGTTCATACAAGAGAAACATTGCTCTCATATTAATTGTAATTATCAGTAAATATAAAGTAATCCAGCATCAATGTCAAGGTTGTCTGCCCAGGATCTATAACCTTTTTCCTGGGCACACAATTTGGACCTGGAATCCTAACTACTTAATATTTAAATGCTATAGCCAACCAATCAGGTGATATCCGACCAGGCTTGGGAGAGATGACAGAACAATAGTAAAAATATGTTCTGTTCTTTGTTCATGTGCTAGTTTCTCCTAATTTTTTGTATCCCCATGATGAAAGCTGAGCACTATGCTGCAAAAAGTGACGAAAAATAAGTGCTAAATATGAGCACATTAAAACAAGATTTGCCAATGGTACGTAATGGGAAGTAAAATTATCCTGTTTTAAAAAGATATGTCTCCCTTGGAATGAGAAAAAATGTAGCAGTTCTTGAAATAAGACTAAATGGCTTTGTCCCATTGGCAAATCTTGTTTTAAGACAGTCAGAATGTACTCAAATTGAGATTCAAAAAAACCCAAAACAAAACACTTGATCACCCCATATTTGATTACCCTTTGCATTGTAGGCTCTGCACTCCCTCTTGCTGGTAAAAATCCAAATCCCATAAATGAACTGATTAATCAAAAACCGTTTCAAAGACGTTCCCAATCAACAACATTTCTTTTTCCTCACTCAGACCATTCTGAGTGTTGGATGCTGTAACACTAACCCTCGTGTCTCTGTGTTGAAGACGCTGGAGAGACAAAAGCTGTCCGTGGACTCGGTGAAGAGGCCTCTGATGAAGCCGGCTCTGAATGGGCTGTGTGTGGCCCGGATGCCCGCCCCAGAGAGTCCCGCAGAGAAAAGTGCCAAATCTGCAACGGATGAAAGGGTACAATTTCACAATGTATTGAAAATATAAATAATTCATGCAGAGAGACAATGGATATGCTAACAGCAAATAGATGCAGAAAGTGTACATTTTCATTTTTATGTTTTGAGTAAAATGCAAAGCGAGTGAACTAGAAATAAGTAACATTTCCCTGATAAGACACTGCCTTTGATTTAAGTTTGTCATTAAGTTTTTGTTTAATATTAATCAAAATTTGACTAATAAGACTTTGCATTGTTTTTATAGCACTAATATCATCCATAATCGAGGAATGTTTTAGACTACATTGAGTGACAAGCACAGAATTATCATATCTGCACTTCACTGGTTAGAAAAACAAACGTTTTAATTGGTTAAGATTATGTTGGTTGGATTAACATTTGTCAGTGATTTACCAGTGATTATGGGTCAAACAATCTAATTAGTTAAATCAATAATGATTGGATTGATTGGCCAAAAAGACACATTTTGCATCAGTTTTTCAACCAACAAGATTAAGTTAAGCAGGTCAAGCTAAGCAGCTCAGGACCTGGTTAATACTGTGATGGGAGACCTCTGGACATCAAGATGTGTGTCTTTAGGCAAGACACTTCACCCACATTAGTTGCGTTTCCACTGCAGAACCCTCCCCCACAGAGCCATTTACAGGAACTTTTATGGGGCCCAACGGAGCGCCTACTTCAGTGGAGGTATTCTGTTCGGCCCAGAACAGCTCCTGGTGGGGATTGAGGTTAACCCGGCGTTGATTGGCAGAAGCTAGAGCAGGCTCTGACGCCAGCATAAAGCACCAAAACAACCAGCATTTTTTTTAAATCCAGCAGCATCAGCCTAGCAGCAATAGCCTAGTAGACACCACTAGAAACAGCAACAACAGCAGCAAGATGTACAATAAATGGATGGATGATGAGATGCAAACATTGATTGAGGCATCACGGCTAAATTAAAAGATAAAGATAAAATTTCAGCGCACCCCGACGCACTGGGGATTCATCACACTCAGAAACAATGCAATGAAAAGTTAAAAAACTGAAGCTATAGTTGGACTTTAAAAAAACTCAAAGACCACAACAACAGGAGCGGTAAATAATTATTGATTACGCAGCGATCGAAACTCATGACGCCGAGGGCTCCTACTCTGCAGTGGAGACACGGCCACTGAGATGACCAAGTGAGAGGACGATGTCCCACCATCCTCCTTTTACCAGGGACTCCTGTGGTGGAACGTGACTATTGCCTAGTGTGAGTTTGCTGTGTGCATGCAGGATTCATGGTAACCTACAAAGACTGGTTGACTGGTTTTAACCAAAAGATTGGCCGGACACATTACTTACTACTTACTTACTTACTTTAAGTGGCCCAAAAGATGTGCTGGTACTCTATTTTTTTTTTTTTTTTGCCCAGTGGAATGTTAGAATGTTCTATAATACAAGGGAATCCACACCACTGTCAAACTGTACAATAAGTCACTTTAAGTCACTAATGTCTATGGTCATAGTCAGTCTATGGTCGCTGCACTCTGTCGGTGTGAAAAGAGCCGCTCTCACTCGCTGCACTCCCGGTGTGTATGAGCCGTGAGTGTTTGTATTTTAACTGAGGATCTGAACTCCACGTTGAGTTGTTTACAGCGGCCAAAGTGACGCATGTGCCTTCCCCTCATAAAACTCATGGGTAATGTAGTCTCTGCTCTTGGTGAGACGAAGGAGCAAGCATGCAGTCTGAAAGGCGCTCTGAAAGCAGTGGAGCAGCAGATTTACAAATGAGCGTACCGGTCATAGACTAAATACCGGTACGCCAAAAGTACATTCTTTGCACACAATGAGTTGACGCTACGACAACAGAGCTGCCGGTACTGCGTACCGGCCCACTTAAAGCACTGGTTACAACCAAAAAATATTGTCTTTAGAGTGAAGGAATGCATCTTTTATGAAGTATTATTAAGACATGTGTACACAATGCATGTTTTATATCCACTGAAAATTTTATAGTATTTATGTATATGTTGCTTTTCCCTGGTGACAAGTAATTTCCCATTAATCCAGGAATGCTCTGTGGCAGAAAAAGGTAGTTAATTGGACTCATGCATCAGAGAAGAAAATAGAAGTTCATTAAAGTCGTTCCTTTTGGTCTGGAGTGTTGCTAAGCTCATGGGGCAAGTCCTTAGTGGGCCGTGGAACGCGTGGCATGGTGCTGCTTATTGCCTCTGGGCCCACTGGTATGTTAAGAATGTGACCTGGGACGAGGGAGAGGACCAAACTCAAGAGAGCCATGCAATAGATTGGATATCCTTTTAAAACTGGCTGTCACATAAACAGCCTCAGATTAGGATGAATATAAAAGCGATGCATCATCTTGCCTCAGATCTGGCAGAGAGCTAATGAACTCTTCAGAAAGAAGAGTGGTAAAAAGAATAATTGTTTTGCAGTGTAAGACTTTGGAGATGAAGCTGGAGGAGGAGCAGGTCTTCACTGAGTACGAGCAGGTGCCAAAGAAGAGATCCGACTGTTCTGTAACCACGGCGACTATGCCTGAAAACACTGAGCGTAATCGCTTTCGGGATGTGGTCCCGTATGAAGACAACAGAGTTGAACTGGTTCCAAACAAGGAGAACAATGCGGGTTACATCAATGCTTCACATATTAAGGTAAAGTAGGTTGTTCACACAAAGATGTTTGATTGAACTATACATGTTAGGATAAAATCCATTCTACAATATATACTCATGCAAATGACTGGGCTTTTCAACAACCTTCAATGCAAACTGTTGAAGACTGTTTGTCCATTTAAGCTTCTGGGAATTCCTCAAGAATGTAGTCCAAACTCCAAGCCCTCTTAAGTCAACTTGAGCTTGCTGGGAACATTGAACATGTTTAATAAGATGGAAGTACTTACTTGACAATATGTATAGTTTGAGTCTCGTTCATTTTCAATGATATCTTTTCTCACATTAACAGCCTGTGCTGATTGTTTTCTAATGCTGTTCCCAGATGGTGATCCGAGGAGAAGAGTGGCACTACATTGCCACCCAGGGCCCACTGGCCAACACCTGCGCAGACTTCTGGCAGATGGTCTGGGAGCAGGGGGTCAACGTCATTGCCATGGTTACTGCTGAGGAGGTATGCACACACGGGACGCACACATGTTCAGTATGTGTCTGCAGCTGCGTCTGTGTCTCACACTTATGTTATGTTTGTATGTGGCCAGCTCTATGTCCTGTCACAGTATGGCTTTATTTCAGGAGGGCGGCCGCTCTAAGAGCCATCGCTACTGGCCCAAACTGGGCTCTAAGCACAACTCTGCCACTCATGGCAAGTTCAAGGTGACCACCAAGTTTCGAACAGACTCCGGCTGCTATGCCACAACAGGGCTAAAGGTCAAACACCTGCTGTCCGGACAGGAGAGGACCGTGTGGCACCTGCAGTACACAGACTGGCCTGAGCAGGGCTGTCCCGAATACGTCCAGGGATTTATCTGTGAGTGCCTTTTCAGATTTATGTCTCTCATCATTCCAAACATGGCTGATGGTATTCTCTGAATCACTTGTGTTGCAGCCTATTTGGAGGAGATTCAGTCTGTAAGGAGGCACACTAACTCTATGCTGGACACGTCCAAGAGCCTCAACCCCCCTGTGGTGGTGCACTGTAGTGCTGGGGTGGGCCGCACTGGAGTGGTGATCCTAACTGAACTCATGATCAGCTGCCTGGAGCACAACGAGGTGAGTGCAAACTGCCCCTTCTTTCTAACGCTTACGTAAATAGCTGTTATCATTAAATAATGATTGTGTTGTACTGTGTCTTTAGCACATGGACGTCCCAGTTCTGCTGGCTAAACTGAGGCAACAGAGGATGATTATGGTTCAGACCATCTCCCAGTACAAGTTTGTCTACCGAGTGCTTATTCATTTCCTGCAAAATTCCCGTCTCATTTGAGAGTCCAACATTGGTACTTGATTTACTGTAAAACAGACTGTTAGTGTTTTATAAAACACACAGAACAGTCATTGAATAGGGAAAATGAAATGCGTCTGTCTGAATCAGAGATAACTCTGCCTGCGTTCACACTGGTTTGGTGAATAATCAGGCTGTTTTGCCAGTAATTAAAACGTGTATGTGTTTTTTATACTCCCAATGTTTGAGTGTAGTATATTATATGGACAGTAGGTGGCAGCAGTATCACTGCTATCATTTGCTGTTTGAACAGTACGTTCTACCAGAGTTTCCAAAAAGTGATTTATCACAATAAAAGTATATTTTTCTCTATTTGGTAACAAACACATTTTTCCATTGTGTATAACTTCTTTTTTGTTTTATTTATTTCTGCTTTCTCCCTATTACATAACTGTCCAATTGTTAATTTAAGGCCAATAAGCTTTTTCAACTTTCAGAATGAGTCTTAACACTTTTACTCTGTTTATGTGGATGCATATACTTGCATCCACATAAAGGCAAGTATATGGTAAATGGTACTCGAGTACCCAAATAATCTACTTATGTTTGTAGGCCCTGTCCTTCGACATAACTTAAACATTGTATACATGTGTTTACATTTGCAGCCTGCGTAGAGAGAGGCGGAGTGTAATGTGCCTTATGAAAGCAGCTGTCTTTGTGTTGGAGAAACAGGTCACTCTTTTACCTCCAAAGAGGAAAGTCTTTATCGGTGTTTAGACCTTTCTGGAAACAGCTCAATGTTGTGTTGATTTTGTTTTTTTTGAAGAAAAACAAAACATTTTTCCAAGGCCACACTTTGATCGTATCAAAGCCTTACTAATTCAACCCAAATTCAAATTCCTTTCTACATTTTAGCCATGTCCAAAGTAACTTTGTAAATATTGGGCAAAGGATGAAAAAGATTTTAAAGTTTTATATATAAATATATATTTTCCTTTGACTTGGTACCATAAATACTGCAAAATAACTATGCATGCCTTTTTCGCTGTATGTGATCTTGTTTATTAGCCTTTACGTTCAGCGCTCCTTGACATAAAAGTGTTGTTGCACTTCTGTTGTTGACAGTATTTTCTCACAGCATTCCACTGCTTGTTTTTAACTTATCTTTCTTTTTCTATTTTGCCAAAACATAATATGTGTAAATATGTTTTATATGCTATCTCAGTGCATAACTTTTCCTTGCCCAAATACTGAATGTATGAAGCTGTTGTACCTGCTTATTATGCAATAAAACCCTATTTTCTTTAATAAAGTCATAACGGCCCTATATTTGTTCTACAATGTTTATAATATTCTCTTCATGACTCTGAAGCCGCTCGTCTAAACATTGTCTCAGTGACATTTTCCAGTGCGTCTGCAGCTGCTCTCGTGTGTTGCATTTAACATGTATACATTTGATTCACAAAATATGAACAAAAACACAACATCTCTCTATCTTATTACAAATACAAAAACAGAAAGGGCCTATAGTTCTGAAAGGCTCTGGGTCATGGAGTAAATGCAGTCCATAGAGTTTCATTTTTGCTTCATCTGTTTGCTCAGCTCTGCCAGGTAAGGGTGGTCTTTCCCATGGACTACCTCCATTATCGCCATTGCCTGAATCACAAAATAAAACAATATCATTTTATGGCCCATTATGATCACAACTTATGTATCTTTTAAAGCTGGTGTACCTAATTACTTTGATTGTGTTGTACTTATACTGTGCTCTCAATGACAACCAAACTATTCTTTGAAACCACAGAAAAATTAGCTATGTAATACAATCCATATAACTAGTTCCTCGCTGTCAAACTGTTTCACGTGAATGTCATTTGGACTATCACATCTTTAGATCCGCTTTAGCAGTGAACAAGAGAGGAAAACCCACAGTAGATACCACGTCTGAGATGACGACAGCATGTTGTGGTTTGATTTGCTCCCAAAATGTTACTTACAAAAAGAGACTGTATTTAATAATAATAAGTTACTCCAGCTTTAAACCTGAAACGTCACCTTTTTCAGAAGGTTAACCCCAGCTGGATGTTTGTCCACTGTCAGGTACAGTCTACCAAGCTTCAAGAAGAGGGAGGACAGATTCAGAGAGAGGGGAGAGTAAAGCTGGCTGTAATGATCAGAAAATATGATTATTACACACACATTTTGTATTTAAGATTACGACATTTAGAGAATATTAACTCTTTACTAACTAAACAAAAATAAAATCTCTATCTTTAGCATAATGAGTACAAAAACTTTGACTTTAGAATAATAAAGAAGTATAAATGCTCTACTTTTGGCATAATAAGAAGCAAGTATAATTGCCCTGTGTAGGAGCACTTTAGATACCTGTATGGTTTGATTAACTTTTGTCCATATCTTATAGCTTCCTCCAGGTCCTCCATGAACAAACACACGCCCATTGCCTGGTACATTACATGCAGCATGTAGACATTAGACTCCTCAAACACGGAGCCCATCTTCTCCAGACTCTGCTCGCAGATATCCAGCAGCTCACTAGGGGGTGCTAGAGAGTCAAGGCATCACCAGGTTTGAGACTAGGGTCAAATCCAATGGTGAGAAGTGTCAGAAAAGTCATTCCTAATTGTTTTTCATTTTTACAGTGAACGGCAACATCTTATGACACTTCTGGTTATTGGACTGTATAATTGAGAAGATTTGACATAGTTTTGGTATCACTAGGAGCCAAAAACATTATTGCATCTATTGCCCTATTGCACAGTCTAGGGTTAAATAAAATGAACACTTAGAAATCTCAAAACACTTCAAATCTATAGGTTCACTATTAAAAACGACATGACATAAATTAGGTGTGACAATGTGAGGTAATGTTTATCTTATGTGTACAACAGCCAACTCCTTCTGCAACTTTTAGCTAATAAAATAAAAGTAATGCATTTTTTGTAGGATGGTTTCTCATGGAATCAACTTTTTCCACCTACACAAAGTTACATATTGTGATGGAATATATATATGTTTAAATGCCAATAGAACATTTGAAAATCACAATTTTCAGATCACAATTCAAAACCTACCTTTTCACATTAGCTGAATCATTGTGATAATTCAAAAGTATTTTATTCTCTATCTCTAATATGTTGTGTGATTTTTGTTTTATTCTCTTGTCAGGCGCCCTTGGGTGTCTTAAATAAAATAACATAAATAATTACTATTATTATTAAATCAAGGTCGGTAAAGCCATTGTTATGTGCCATTTTTTGCAGTAAAATTTACAATAAAGGGATAGCAATTAAAGCAACTCAAATATATATATCCTTATGTACTATTTTACGCAGTGTACTTATGTTGACAATCGTGTTAACATTATCATATCAATACTATTAACTGAAACAAAGGATATTTTTGCAGATTTTTGCCGCTCTGAATTCTTGGATGGCTTTCCTGGCATAATGCTCCATGCTGCTCACATCCTCCTTCTTGCTACGTTTCTGGACTTTTAGTTTGAGCTTGTCCTGAAACGAAAACATAAAACAGAGGTAAAATATTTAATCTTTTTCTTTCATCATTCCTACTTTTATCGTTTTTTTTACCTGGGACCTGCTCTTGCACTCCTGGCATTTACAAATAAAGAAATAGGAGTCACTCAGACGGTTGTTGCGGTCGTCTGTTGGATACAGGAGGTCGATGTAGCTGATGAAGACCTGAGGACACACATGAGCAACTTAACCCTTTCATGTTCACTCCCTGAAGAAAGCAATGCACATGTTTTGATCTTCCAAGATGTAGGAGCCCTAATATCAAAAATAATTAGTTTTATTTATTTTATTTTTTTTGAACCCCTTAGTTTTTTTTAATTATAGGCGTCAACAAAATAGTTGAGATGCAGTTTGATGGTAAAAGTGCCTGAAACCCTCCCTGCAGTGATGGAGAGATGTCCCACTGAGGCAGATTTCAGTTCCAAGCTTCAATAGTGACTCAAAAGGTGATCCGAGAAAGGGTTGAAGAAACTATTAAAGGTTTAATATCAACTTAGACGTACAGTATATAGAAAGTACTATTATTACTCTTTTTACTAGTTTATTTCACTATTACAACTGCAGTGGTTCTCAACTTGAACATGAAAAATGCCAAAGCCTTAAAAAAACCCACTGAATTTAATGTGCAAATAATGAAAAATACTGTATCTTTTCAAAATGATTGTGTTATAAGCATTTATAAGCAATAATAAAGAACAACATTTCCTCCGAGAAATTGCTAAAACTATTTAATGAGCAACACGTTTGTTTTACACGGCATAAATGTCATAGTGGTAAAATTAGATCAAACTGTTACAGGACTGAGACGGAGCTTTGTGCCAGACGTGTTTTGCATCATTTGCATCCTTTACCTCTAATGTTACTACAATCATGAGCATTACTGACCTCGTCTCCAGGTTTCATGACCTTTATAGCCCTGATTTCTGCTGACGTCCCTTTAAAAGTGATGATGGCATTTGGAAGACAGCTGTGGTTTAAGAGGGCTACGCTGCACACAACAAAGAGAAACAAGAATTAATCATATTTGTCTTTTGTTTTTATCTCAGAATTCATATATTAGCAATGAGAGCACAATTCTGTAATAAAGTTTGATGAATAACAACTTCAATAAGACGGAGGGGGAAAATTCACCTTCGTCCATGTCTTACAGCCAATTGAAAATCTAAACCACTTTGGAAGCAGGAGCAGAGCAACCACTAAATGACCAACTGGGGAGCAGAGCGTGGGCTATTTCGAGTCTGGTCAAAGGGAAAAACAACAATAAAAGACACCACAAAAACGTATGAAACTTACTCTGGGTAGACTGCCGTTCCCAAATGGGACAGTTCTTCATCCTCAATAGTGAAACCATTGCAAGAAACCTGCAATGTATATTTGATAATGTTTGCAAGAGAGTAGCCTAATTTACAGTATATATACACATTATACAGTATAGACCAAAAGTTTGGACACACTTTCACATTCAATGAGTGTCCTTTCTTTTCATGCCTATTGACTGTAGATCCACACCCAGGCTGTGTAAGGGCTATTTGACCAATAAGGAGAGTGATGGTGCTGGGCCAGATGACCCGGCCTCCACAGTCCGGACCTGAACCCAATCCAGATGGTTTTGGGGCTGGACCACAGAGTGAAGGAGAAAGGGCCAACAAGTGCTAAGCATCTCAGACCATTTCAGGTCCTCTTGAAGCTCATCAAGAGAATACCAAGAGTGTGTGAAGCAGTTATCAGAGCAAAAGGTCCTACTTTGAAGAACCGAGAATATAAGACATATTTTCAGTTGTTTGATACTTTTTTTTTGTATGTACATAATTTCACATGAGTGAATTCATAGTTTTGATGCCTTCTGTGTGAATCTACAATTTTCATAATCATAAAAATAAAAAACTCTTTGAATGAGATGGCGTGTCCAGACTTTTGGTCTGTACTGTATGTATAGGCATGGTATACAGTATTGTGTGACAAACCTGGGAGAACAGATGGAGCAGCTCTTGGTGGTCAGGGAAGTCTAAATGCTTGGAGTAGAAGTGATGCAGTTGTGCCATGTCAGATTCGCTCGTCTGTCTCTTCTCACTGTCCATATCATCCAGATCTATAATAAAAACAACTATGAAATTGTTTGGTTGTACTTCGTCCCACATTCTGCTTTGAGAAAACAACAAATTGACTTTTAGGGTACTGTGATGCTGAGTGATGATCTCCCAACACTAATACTATATAGTAGTAGTAATATCTAATAGTATTTCAGATTCAGCATGATGACATCTTGTTGTACAGTATATATACAGTAGCATACAGTGTGTATGAGTCGTGTGTGTGAGTGTCAGCCTGGAGAGCTGATGCTTATCTTGAAGCTGTTACACATGTTGAGTGGCCTCAATCCCATTTGCCCCACTTCTACAGGATATGTATAAATAGCAATGGAGGCCTCTCTTAGTCCAATCTCAAAGAGCTGTGGTGGACATGCAGAGACACACTCATAGAAGCTCATAGAAGCTGTATATAAGTGAGAGGCATGTCTGAGTAGGTGCAATTACCCACGTGATTGCATCTCTCCTAGTTGCATCATCTTCTCTGATAAACATGGTTCTTTCTGTGACTTCTAAAGAATCATCATGAATGTAAAATATATATAACACATTTGTACAATTTGCACGATGAAAATGTTCCACTAACCTTTTTAACAAGGATCCGAGCGACCAGCCTGGTGATCTCAGACGGACACCATTTCTCTCCAAAAGCAACCATTGCTGAGCATTCCAGCTTGTGCATGATCCAGTCTGCTTTCTGCTCAGAAATGACAACTCCTTGATAGTTACAAAGTATATTATAGTTTCATAGATCATTTCAAATGATCACTGTTTGTACCTGACATTTGGCATTGCAGTAGAAAGCTTTCTTGCACTTGCCACATCTTGCAAGATCCTTTTTCCTGTGTATGAAAAACCCGCACTAACATTATAAACATGAATGAATAAATACATAAAATAACTGCATAGTGAGAATACACTTGAATAATCTGCCAATGAGCACAGAAAACTATACTTAAGGCTGTGTATTGGTGGTCTGCAAGGCCAGCAGTGTTTACTGGCATCCTTACATGGGACAAGAGCAGGCAGTTGGCAGCGCTTGATCGTAAGTGATAGCAAACATTCTAATGTATTAATAGAGAGGTTCTGAGGCAGCTGTGTACTTCCCATTAGCAGCAAAAACAGTTTCTCTGTGATTATACAGAGCATCCCAGGATAAAGGTGATGTGTAACTGAGTATCACACTAATTAATCTGTGATGATTCCATTATTTAATCTGCATTTAAAACAGGCTCCAGAGTGCTCCTCTCTGTAAACTCGACTCTAGGTGCACCTGTTTTTCTGCCCAGCTGTCTGCCTCTTTATATTCAAGTTCATGTAATCTATATAAACAACATGTAGCCTATTCATTCACTGAAATCATTATTCTCGTCTCCATCTAATCTGAAGCCCTGATTTATTATGTGTAAAGATATTCCTAAAGGACAATACAAGAGAGAATTGCAAACCTCTCACCTACAATGATAACTATACAAACATAAACTCTACCAGAGGCATCAGAGATATGACAATGCAGTAATTTACTCAACCTGTTGAAGCAGAACGCGCAGTAGTCCCCCCTTTCCTCCACCGCCAAAACTGAGGAATACGCGGGACAAGAGAAGAGCAGATCCCCGACTTTGTGCGCCTTGAGGACCCGGAGACCACGGCCTTTCCCCGGGCTGTCAAACCTCTCCAGTCCCTTGATGCTGCCCGTCATGGTGCTCAGTGAGTCTGGTGGTCTGTGTTCCAATGGGACCATCCTGCTCCGCTGCTCTCAGCCCCCAAACCTGCAACAGCTGCAGACCTCCAACAGCTGTTGCTGCTTCAACCAACACAATTACACAATATTAAAATCACAATAAATAAGAAAAGAAACAATAATTTCTTCACTCAACAAAGTCATTAGGTTTGGGTACTACCAGTAAATAACAATAAAAAACAGGCAAGTGTAAACACCGTTTCGATTGATCAGATTCATACATATAAATAAACCCGTGAATTTAATATACTTGTTCCTACCATACATTTTTTATTGATTAATCAGAAGACAGCGCCCCCTCAGTACTGACGGCCGTAAGGGGTATTGCAGAGCAGGTTGGAGGGGGATGTTTTCGGATGAGGATGGTGAGTCTTTAGGACCCTTATCATTTGACACACACAGATATGTACAGCATATCTGACTTATATCTATCCAAACAGACGACAAGGGGGTTTAATCGGTTTGCCAGGCTGGCAGTGAATGAGGCCATTTTGTATCTCAGACGGATCGCGCCATAAAGATTGTTGATGCCTGATTCTTTCTGCAGCTGCTGCTCTCTCAAGAATAGTTTTAAGTTGAGTTACGAACGAGAGCAGCGGTGTCATGTTTACAAAATGGCACGAATTTACTTTACTGGAGGGAGGGAGCTCAAGAAAGACCTTTAGCTCCTTAAGTAACCTTATCCAGGTTGTTACTCTCAGAGCTGCCAGAGCCTTTTCTAATATAGTTTTAAAGTGTTAGATCTTTGACATCATTTCTGTAGTCAATTGTGGTATTGTGCCATCCATTGTTGAACTTTTGAGGCTTTACTGGCCAGAAAATGTAGATTTCTCTTACCACCACCGCAAAAATAAATAAAAATAAAATAAAACCTTACAAATATATTGTCAATGATCTCACATCATGCCCATAGACTGTAAATATGAATGCCATATTAACGCATGTCCGACTAAAGAAAATTTGAGAACAGCATGTTCATTTCATTTGTTCAAAACTATAATTAGATTTTTTTCTAGAACCACAACAACTCCTTGTACTTTGCTGGAGGAGGCCACGGAACAGTTGTTCCTTTGACTGAAGGGCACTGAAGGGCAATAAACCCATCTACCTCCATGGAGAAAGTTTAACTTTCTATTTCGATGTCGAGGTCAAGGTCACGTTTATTCAGAAAGCACATTTACAAAACAGTTGACACTACCCCAAGTTCTTATTGAAAATAGGCACTACAAATTAGTGTTGAAAGTATTGAGTTAAAAGTGAGTATCAAGTACTAAAACCAGTATCGGAACAAGATACTAATTTAAGTATAGGTACAACAAACCAAAAAAAATCCCTTTTTGGGTTCATTCTAAAATATCTTTGATTTTTAGAAAACCTTGTGGCCCCACAAAAGTATTATTTTTATTATTTTAAGTTAAATATGTAATTTCTTGTCCAGAAAGAAAATATATAAATAATTATTCAGGTATCACAAATTCATATCAACACTACAACACACAGTAATGAAATATGAAATAAACAGCAGCAAAGCAACATGTTCTGCTCATTTTGAGTTAAAGCCGAACATGTGAGACTTCCGTAGAGACAGACTTCTCCCCAGAGGTGGCTCAGGGTTTAGCTCTGGGAAAGGACTCAGTCTGGACCATACAGAGCCTCCAGCAGACACAGGTCTGTGGATCAACATGGACCAGTCCATGGATAGATTTAAAAACAAATCTATTATGAAGTAACTCATGTTTTACAACCAAGAGTGTGTGTGGTACAACAGAGACATCTGCTGGAGGCTGTTCAGAGCTTTAACATGAAGACACAAGGATTCTTGTCATGGAGCTGCAGCTGGCTGGATTATCGATTATTCTCTTTCGCTCTCCTAACAAATGTGTGGGTTGTATTGTAACTAGTGAGCTCTGCAGATTCTGATTCTAAAATGAGGTGCACCATACAGTATATCAGCAGACTTTAACTCACTTTTAAAATCTATTGGATGTTTTTCCGACCCAGAAATGGATTAAGGGGAAGAAAATGGATGGATGGATGGATGTTTTTCCTTTGTGCCAAGTGTGTGAAGGACAGTAGTGGTTCAGTCATCAGTCTGCCCTGAAAAATAATTTACTGAAACTTTGATTTCCTGTTGAGACTCAAACTGTGAGAAACACCAACAGTGTTTTTTCACTATAATGAACTAACAATTCACAACCCTTTTCTTAGAATTTCAATAAATACTGTATAACGATTGAAATCTCAGATTTTCATGATTACTCTTGTTGGTGGAAACGCTGTAGAAATGCCAAAGTGCAAAAACTAACTGTTAAAGCTTTGGAGCATCAGGGTTTAAGGTAAAAACTTCAGAATAGAGTGACTGAAATGCATGAATAAATGGAAGGATGAAACCTGTGCTTGAATATTTATTTTCTATTACTCAAAGCATTTCCCTGTACAATTATCTTTTGAAATCATGAAAAATATATTTTAAAATTGTGATTTTTCTCCTTAAAATGATTGACTTGGTCTGCACTGCCATGAAGGCCATTTGCCAGACTCAGCAGTTCAGTTAGGCCATCTGCTGGTTAATAAAGGAACATGTAAGTTTGTGTTGTTGTTTCTTTGTTTTCAAAGTCCGTGCTCCATGACAAACACTTCAACCCACATTCACACATACCTCATACATGACCAGATAAATTACCCTTTATCAAAATATACATGTATATTGTTGATAATAATATATATGATTATGGCCTGTTGTCTGTGCTGTTTGATCGTAGTGCGCCCTCGTGTGGATGTTTTCTGTAAGCACATTGCATTTGGTCTTGACGATGATCAAGTTATTAAAGCAGCACTTAACTCATAAGTAGAGCTCACACAGGTGCACTTATGCAACAGGAACAAATACAAAAGAAATATTCCCTGCACACGGTGAAGATTTGCCCCTCCTCTTTGGCCTTAGCCTTTATCCAACCTTGCCCCAGTTTAGCTTTGATTTATTATAATTCCATTTTCCTGTCTTTTCAATCTAAAGATTTGTTTCTCTTGATTTTTAATAATACAGGAGCGCAGGGAGGCATGTCGTGGGGAGATTACGGCCTCCGTCTTTGGCGTCTCGTCTTGATTACATCACAGGAAGCGGATTTGATTTGGAAGAACCCCTCTTGTCCTGGTACGCGATCTCTTTAGACCTCCCCACTGTGCTGATTTTCTTGCTTTGTCAGAGAGGGATCATCTTGATGAATATGATCTGAGGCATGGGGAGGGAGTGGGGGATTAGGTGAACAGATTATAATTTTTCAATGATGAGAAATAATAAGAAACAATAAATCCTAAGTAGATTTAGTTCTCAAGGAAACCCCGTTAGAGTAAATCATAGATACAAGGCAGCAGAATTAAATAGATACAGTAGTGTTGACCGGCGGGGCCCAGGGAAGACTACACTTTTATCCTTTGTAGGCAGATCTTGCACTACTGATTCTGATTCTGATTCTGATTCATTTTCAACTCATGTACATAAACAAATTTAAAGCTGGAGTACCTTACTTTATTGTCATGAATACAGGATTGTCCCAACAGAAAGAGCATTGTTTAACTTACATTTTGTGAACAAATTAGAACACAACATCCTGTTTCTATCTTATAAGAAAACATTGCTGATTGACTGATTTAGAGCTGGTTCTCTTTTTTCAAGATGATCTAAAATTGTGACAGAGGCTAAAAATACATGAACATGAAAACTAGTGATGAACTGATTTGTGGTACTCCATCTTTAAGGTTTTATATGTAACATGTGCCTATGTCATTTGTTAAGCCGACTGAATTACTCAAATATACTAATACATAAAATATATAGTTGGTTTGCAATTCAAGCATGACAGTATTAGACTTGGATTGAACCTAAGGGAAGGGGTTGACACTGTGCAAATAAATCCCCCCAAGCACATCAGGTGATTGTGAGTTAGTGTCAACGAATGTTATGTGTGTATTGTCTGTTTTTTTCTTTTATTCTTTTTTCTTTTTATGTCTGTATCTGTGGGTGCTACTGACCCCCCCTGCTCCAAGACACATTTCTCCCTCGGGAAACAAAGTAATAAATTAATCTGAATCTGAACCTTTAATTCAACCAGGAAGGTCCCAGTTTTCAGGGGAGTCCTGGCCCAAATAGGAGATTCATATTGGAGCTACATTGCACAGTGTCTTGGAAATGTTCCAACACTCATTTATTTTACTTCCACTTTCTCTGTATGGCTTCATAAAGGCCCCAAATGACACAGATGTACAGTATAAAGTCTGCATGGTAGAGTAGACCTCTTGTTCTTGTGGTAGCTGTCCTCAACTTGTACTTGTGACCTTGCCATCAGGCCTGTCCCACACCGCAGCACTAAGCAGGGGTCAGCAGCAGGGCACTGGGTGAGATGGATGAGGTGGATGTGTTCAGGGAAGGAGGGTGCATTGTCCCGGTGCATACCAAGACTCTATGAAGCCCCTAATATTCCCTTCAGCTAAATGCGAACACAATACAGTAAATCAGCATTCCTCCTTGACTGAGACATGTCTGTGAGCTGTGTCTCCTGTCGTCTGCTATAGAGCCCAGCCTTAGAGCTAACCCTCACTGTCTCCACTATGCTATAGTGCTCGGGGGCTAAATGACGCCTGGCTGGATGCTCCGCCGGCTGTCCGTCTTAGCCCTATCTACCACTGTTTATCCATGTGTCTTTGCTTTGGCTCAGACCTGCGCTGGAGGCCACTGCGCTGAGTACAGTGCGCTGCCCCATGTCACCCACCTAAGCTCTGCTTTCACTGGGAAGCTTAGCGCCTCACCCTCCGCCTGCTTTATGAGCAGACAGCTGGGCTAATCTACTGCTCGTCTTTCTCCTTCGTTGTTTTCTTCTCACTTCAAACTCCTTCAGATTCTCAGAAGAGGCCACTCTTTTTATAGGTATAACATAATAAAATATTCTCCACAAAATGACAGAAATTCTGTGATACAAATGAGCATGAAGACATAAACCATT